ATTGGCTTATTTTCGTCGATCATCACGTGATGGTAAAAATTACATAGAAATTTTGTTGGCGATCCTGGGGTAGTTTAGTTACTGGTATTTAAATAAAATTGACATGATTCTTAACGTTAACGTAAATACCTAATACCAAATATGAGAAATTCTAAACAAAAACGAAAATATTTGAAATCGTTTTCTAAAACAATTTCAAATGATAGTTCAAGAGTTCATTCGGTACAGGACAATCAGCATGTTTCAATTCCACAGGTTTCTACACTGCTTAATAAACTGCGTCAGGAATCTCGACCTAAAAACAACCAAAGATCAACTGAGACTTTACCGACACCAGCATACAAGTACTTAATGAGAGATTATTTAAATCAAGTTGAAAGTGAACAGAGGGAAAGGATTGAAAACGATCTGAGACTACGTGTATCAGGCCCGTTACCACCCAAAAGTTGGCGAGGTGCGTGGTATTCCGAAGTTAACTTGAATGAATGTGGTAAATTAAAATCGCAAATTGAAGTACGAAAAGCAAAGAAAAGTGCTTGGAATGGTGAGAGAATGATTTCTCTACCATTCGTGATTTTTATCTTTAATTTTCTGATTTTATCAATTTTTATAGTTTTTACAATATAATGCGATTATCTTATATTTGACTTATAATTACAGGACTATCGTCTTCCAATGTTGATCTGCCATCACTCACTACTATTTGCATAAATACAATAGCCATAAACATCAAAACTTATAATTCATGTCCATACTTTTCAAATTTGCCTACACATCTGAAACAAAATATTCTTTCCTCTTTAAGCATACACAACCCTCTTACCGATGATTTGCTCAAATTGTTTGTATCTGATTCGGAATATGATGAATTAGATCTATCAAATAGTAGCGTCTCTTTGGAATGTCTGAAAAGGTCTTTTTGGAAAATGGTTAATGATAAAGATATCGAGAATGATATTGTAGAAGATTGGGAAGTTCTTATTGATCGCTCTGAAAGTGATGATACCGATTTTCTATCATTTCGATATTTTAAATCATTGGATTCTCCCTCAGTTGGGGAAAAGCCTGTGAAAGATTCTAGAACGTTGCCTACTAGATTTATTTCTAAAGTTCCTGAACTTCGCAGATTAAATGTTGGTTTTACTTGCAACATTCCTATCATTCCATTATCCAAATTAGTTACTTCAACTATTCCACTGCTTAGCCACTTATCAATTGCTGGTTGTTCTAATTATGAGGACGGTCCTCAAGCATTGAGGATTTTTAGCACAAGCTTGATAAATCTTGTTTTTCTTGAGATATCCCATAATGACTGGGTAACTGATAATGTAATTTTGCAATGTATAAATTGGGATAGAGATCTTAAATACTTAAAGATGCTGGTGGCTGTCTGCTGTTTTGCGTGGAAGGATATTGATATTGTGAGAAATAAATTGTCAAGCCATAGAAGGGAGGTTGAAATTATCACGTGACGTTTGGATCATGGTGATGTGGGGTTCGGAAAACTAGTCCATAAATAAAGTAGTCGTCTTAAAAGGAAGATTACCATATATTTCCCACGCTTAGTTCTTATATTACGTAAAAATCAAAATAATTATAATATTTAGTGCAGTCGTGCTATATGACTTCGTTTTTTTCCAGTTTTTTCTCTGCAAAGCCAAAATCCGACGAGGTTATGGCATTGACAAGTCAACCCGATGGTGATGGTAACTAAAATCTTTCTAAAATAATTCTAAGGAATCATATTTAATCTCTTAGTTGTCTTTTATAGAGTTGACGACACAAACCACACCACAACAGGCCCAGACGGACTCTGATCCACTACCACAAGCTTCGTCATCAGAGGAGCAAGAATCGACAGGTTTAAGAGATCCCGATTTGTTCGTCCTTCTTATTTAACCCTTTCTTTTAAACTTACAAAAAAGTACTTTACAATCTAGAGCCAAAAATTTTATCGACTAACGATGAAGTCTTAACGCATATATCAGAAATGAACCAACTCACGTATGTATGCGCGCGTGCTATTTACATCTACGTGAGTGTACGGCTACACAAATTTATTATTTAAAAATTTTAAGCAAAACTAACATCAAATATAATAAAGAATTCCTTGGCCAGAAGTTAAAGATATAATTAGAGAGAGATTTGAAAAGGTAGATGGGAAAACAGATGATTTCTTGATTTTATTGTTATTGATTAGCTTAAATGATTTATAGATTTGTCAGGAAGCACCATTACTGATTGCAATAAATGGTGCAGACCCCGAACAAATCGATAAAGTTAAAGCAGAGATAGAAGAATATAAACAAAATATTAACAAAATGCTCGATGAATTTGAGAGGTAATGATAACTAGGGATTGTACCCGGGTGAAATTGCTACCCAAATATAATAATACTCGGTGGAAGTACAAACCCTAATGATAACATTAGTTAATGATTTTTTTAGTTTATCATAATTGAGTTCTTTTGTACATTTGTAGACCACCATTCACCATTCAAAGAACTGCTGAGTTGTTACTGAGACCTTTTCAGCATCATAAAACCTTGATTAAATGGCTTCGGGCTTTAGAAAAGGTAATCCAACTGAACAAATTTAGAGCGGGTTCTATGTCGTTCCTTACTATTAAATATTTAAATCATATATTTTGTATGGTGCCATGCTTAGAAGACTTGACTCATATTATTTCCATACTTAATATTAGTATTTTTTTCTTTTTACTTTTATTATACATATTGGTTTATTCAATAATTACGAAAATTTATTTTCTTAGGTATTAATGGTGCAATCTTCTGTTGATGAATTTCCGCCAGTTTTAAATACCACTATGGTAACAGATAGACTAGAGATAATGGATGTAACCACTTCTCCAAAGTTGGTTCCAATTACGTTTGCTCCTAAAATAGAGGCTGTGACAAAAGAGGAAGGCAAGGAGGCTGATTTGGATACTGATGTTAATGAAGATAGTGGTGAAGTTTGTGAAGAAGGTAATTCAAGTGAATTGACAAAATTAGAGAACTCGATAGCTGGAGAAGACCAAAACCCTGCAGATAATGCTGAAGACGCAGAAACAAAAGAATCGCCTGTTGTTACGGAGGTAAGTGAAGGTCAGGGACCAGTAGCAATGGACACCTCTGATTAATTTAAGGTCGTGGCCAAAACTTTTCTTGAATTATGACATTACTGCATAGTTAGATTTAGAAACATTTCATTTGGGATAATGACAAAAATATAAATATATGTTCTTTATTAGTCAATAGTGTAAAACATTCAAATTTGTTAAATCAATACTATAGATTGTTAAAATCTTATTTTTATTTTTATTTTTAAATTAAGAATTAAAGAAATTACATATATTTTATTTTAAATGATAATTCAAACCTTAAATACATGTAGTTGATGTTAATTTTTTTCGTATTGCTGACTTTTAAAGTTAATGCTTTAGAAGAAAAGATTAGTAACAAGACATTAATACTTCACATTCATTGCGTTTGCCCGTCACTGTGTTATTAACATTATTATGAACATAACGACTATTAATAAACATAACCAGACGATAATTGTAAAAAATATTTTTTTTAATATTAAACTTATTAATCTTTCATGGTATCATTATCAAAACAGACCTTGCTAACAATTAGGATGTATATAATTGAAAAATATATATCTATCATTGTCACTATATGATTATGATACAAGAACGAATAATAAAGTATGAATAATAGAATAAATATAAAATAATAATACTAATAATAGTAATGATAATAAAAAATTTACCAGAATAAAGGAAAGGAAGAAACCAATAATTCATTATTTTTTTTAAAAAAAGTCCAATAATTAATCTTAAAAAGACAAATTACAAAATAGTCTATTCATTTTTAATTTATCTAAAAAAGTTCTTGTGCAAAAATTATATTTAACTTCGTTTTCAGTTATTACCATAGTCACTCCTGGTGGGTAAATCGGGCAAATCATCAATATCTTCGGAATGATTAAGATCAGGAAATGCTTCATAGGTACTACCGGAATCACCCATATATATTCCTACATTACTACCATTTGTTGAAATGGTTCGACCACTCACTGTCCTAGAGTCATCATCATCAGTATATTCTGAATCATAATAAGAATTATTATCATACGAAGTACCAAGGTAAGAAGAATTAGTTAAAGATTTAGGTTGTACGTTGAAATTTTCACTAGTATTATCTTGACTGGCAGCTGATGAAATGTTGGTTCTACCGCCACTTTGATAATTTTGATAATTTCCAACATTAAATGTTCGAGGTTGTGGTACTGAATTACTACGACGATGAAATCCAGAATCACCATTAATGTGATTAGACTCATTAGACCTTTGTTCTATCATTTTTAACCAATAATTTTCGAAAACTTGATCTAACAAAAAGCATGAAAAAAAAGTGTGCATTTAATTTATAAATTTAATACAAGTGATAACAATTTTAAATATAAAACGTAACAATAATTTTCTTACCTAATCCAAGTGCATGAGAATGACGGGCACCGACAGAATTTAATGCTTGACTTACACCAGCAGTAAGGGAACCATGAACAAGAGATAATAACAAGCCGTCGTTTCTTGAAAGAGAATTATTGTTCGAATCGTGACCACTTAAAAGAGGTGTAGAGGCATATGGAATTGGTTCTAATACAGTATGTCTTCGAGGAATGGTCGTGGCATTTGAATTTTGGTATGATACATATCGGTCAAATTCATTCGATGGATTATAAGTGCCCATATCATCAGGAAGTACAGTGCGAAAATGATCGCCTCTCAAAGTTCCTGGTACAGAATTAGTACCTTGTTTTACATAACCTTTAGATTTTCCTCGGTTTGAAGTGATAAAGTAAACACCCACAAACGTCATGAAACACCCTATCAAGAAGCCAGTGCATTTCCAAAAATCCATTTCAGCAAAATCATTATATAATATAGCACTACCTATTATTGCTGATATAGTAAATAAAACAAATTGCGTAGGAATAACTTCCTTAAATCGGCATAAATATAAAAAAAATCAAAATTATTAGGACATATATGTTTACAATCGTGTCATGAAACAATTATAAGTATTAACTACAAACCGTTGAATCAAACTGTTTTAATGCCTTGTTAAGAAATTTTATCTGAAGAACCGCAGTGGACATCAGGACAAACAACAAAATATATGTGATTGGGTAACTAAACATCAGAACAAACTTCATTGTCAACAGGGAAGAGATTGCTTTTGTTGATAATACAGTATATCCACCTATATTATCAAAACTAGATGTTAGAAAAACTGTTGATATAATAATAACAATAAGTTTACCAACACCGGTGATGTTAACGCCACAGTCTCTACATTTCAAAAATTACCCAAGTAGTTGTTGTATGATGCTCTAAGTAAGAATACTTGACGCCTCCAAATACTCTGATTCTAGTTTCCAACTCTGACTTTATAACACAAAGTTTAATGTGGTGTTTATCACTACCGGTGTGCTTAGTATTATCTTTTATAATTATAATTTCAATTTATACCAAATAAAATATAAGACATTACCAAATATTGCAACCAACGATAGATCAATAATAATTAATTTGTGACCAATTTTATCAGAAAGAAATATTAACAGCATTGACATCACAAGCGTTACTGATAGATAAATGGTAAATTGTGTTTGCATAATAGCAATCCATATCGCTTGAGGTGAAAGCTGTTTAAAAAAATTACATATTAATGATTTCTCATAATATCATGATTATTAATAGTCGCACTAGTGGTATAGGCATAATTACGTCATTAATCACGACTTACGATTCAGTATTCAAGACTGATTTGCCGTAACTTTATATTATCGTAATAATTAAGTTACGATAATTTGCCTGCACACTAAAGTTTTACATACTTTTACTTCATCTGACTTCGAGTTTATGACAACGACAACCGCACCGATAATAGCAATCAAAATTCCGAGTAAGTCTTGAGGTCGAAACGTCTCCTTAAGCATTATCGGGGCTAAAATTACATTAGAAATCAAAGCGACGGTTCCAAGAGGCGCTATGACCGAAGCCGGAGCAAACGCGTATGCGATAAAATTGCCCAATTCTCCTAAATACAACACAGATCAATACAAATAAGAATAAATGAGTTTCGATAAAAAAATAAAATGTTACATGGTCGCGAAGTTATATACCATGACTATTAAGGTTAGGAAGGTAATATGCACGGGAATTAGGGATATCATTAGATCATTGAAAGATTTAGTGTATTGTTTAGCCTATGTGTGCTAAACAACAAACGAATTGCCTAATGGTTTAATCAGACTCACCAATGACCATTAAAAAGAGTCCAGCCCACCATGCTTTTGAATGAAGGTAATTGGTATTACACTCATCGGGATCTGGTACTTCATAACCATCGTGACTATCCGTAGGAAAATTGTGTGTTCCTACTGGGGTTTGTGGAGAAGTGTTTGCAAAATCGCTGGAATCAAGGCGGTCGAGTTGAAGCTTTTGTAGCTCATTATGGGCATTTTTTTGAATGTTTAATGCGACGGAGATCAAAATCTGTACAAAGGCGTAATATTATCAAACTAACGCAAACACGAATGTGTAAAAACGAATTTAGCTATGAGGAAAAAAAAAAACTGCCACTTACATTGCCAGAAACAGCGAAAATAACGCCAATGAATGATTTGACCTCGGGTAAATCGGGTAAGTTGGGTATTTTATCACTGGGAGGCCACATTGCGTTTTATCGATTGTTGACCGTGAACATTGGGGCGTGTGAAATGCAAGTTTTTGAAAAAGGAATAAAGGAAAATTCAATCGATGATGCACCAGGATCTTGCAAGATGTATAAAGACGATAGGATTATGTTCATTTATGTATGAATTAGGTGTTACAACGACGGGATAAATCAACTCCTTTTTCTTGTATAATGCCATAATATAATGCGTGACCAATATTTTGCATAATGCCAAATTAGTAATATGGATCCATCGCATATATAGCATATCGATACATATTATTAATTTAAAATCAGCTTGAAATTTTCCTTTAAAAAAAGTAGTATCAGAGAAATATGGTCCGTAAAATCATAGTTGCTGTTTTGATATTTATTTATATAGGGTTGTTTAAAGAATGTATAGCACATAGACATATGCATAGTCATGGAGGTCCTCCTATAATCAACCTACCTGCAAATACTATTGAGAATAGTAAGTTTCTTTTCCTCTTTTTTTTTTCTTTTAAATAAATTTTTTGACATACGTTTGTTCTTTACAGAATACCAGTGGAGGTGTCTGGACATTT